TTTATAAATTTATATTTTTTTTACTTTTATTCGATATACTTTATTATACTTTTTTATTTGAAATGCTTACTATATAACCAATATGAGTATTATTGCTGATTTTGTTTTTGACATTCTAAAGCTATAGTTGCTATTTCACGTTTATATACTGCAGAATATTTACTAATCCAATTTTCAATTGTTTCTACTTTTAGTATTATTTTAGAATCAAATTCCTCATTATTTACCATATGAATAAGTTCTAATAACATATCATTATCTGAGTATCAATCACTTTGATCAGCATTACCAGCATAAAAAAAACCTTGTAACAATATAATAATCTTTTTTGACATTTTTGTTCTGCTTCTTTTTCCAAATTTTTGATTTGCTTTTAATATCTATCCAGATGCGAATTGAAATTCTGCATTAATGCTACAAATAAGATCAATATATTATTTCTTATGTAACTTTATTTTAAAATAAGTAACATCAAATAAGGTGGATTTTTCTTACATAAAATTATTTTTTGCATCTATAATTTTATTGCTAACTTATTCCAAATTTTTGTTAGGTGTGTGTATTTGTATATACTTAGAATTGGTATCTAAAAATAATTTAGTGACTATTCAATATATAGAATAATTATAATATAATACAAATTTGAAATAAACTACTACCAGGATTTGGTATTGGTATAGTCCATAAAGATTTTAGTTTAGAAAGTGTAGAAATTATAGGATTGGGTTTTATTATTTCTGTATTTGATAATTTTTGTATTTATATAGGAAAATAATTAATAAAATTACCTATATTTGGCAATGAACGTGTTTGTATGAAATCTGCAAATGGTCTGTCTATTGGCCATTTCCATTCATTCATATTAGATATTCTAACCAATGACTTTATTTTTTTATCAGATTTTTCACGATTAGGATTTAGTTTTCCTATTTATATATCACACAAATCTTTGATTTTATTTTTTATATCAATGCCTTCTTTTATCTCAAATCCAACTCTAACATATCTTTTAATAATATATGTAATCTATGAAATTATTAGTCAATTATTATTTTTTTAATGCTAATAAATTATTATTTTTCTTATACTAATAAATATAATAAATAGTACAAT